GGCGCGCCCGTCCTGGAGGTAGGCGTTGTAGCTGCCAGCTGAACCTAGTGCCGTCAAAACTATTTCAGCTCGCTGCAACACGTGTACAGGCATTTTCTAGCATCTTCAAAGAGAAAGACAGGGGTTTACGGACGATTTAATCCGGTAAACATTCAAACAAATCAAGGGTGGATGTTGTAGGCATGGCGGCCTGTGTAGTATCTGAACTTGTTTTGTACGATTAGAGATTCCTAATTCAAAGTCATACCGCCAACGCCCCGCCCCGATCAACATTATGATTCAATATATTTAGGCGCTGTTGGCAACTTCCAAGGCATTAGAAGCTCTAGAAGACTCGCTTAGGTCCAACCAACGAGCTCCATAGCTTTATAAAAACTCGTGCTCAACATACATCCACGCTACAATCACATTTCAAACGAGACCGACTGGCGGAAACTAGTTACAACGGCAGCACTCAATAGCGGCGCAATGAACTTTACTAGACAACAGGAACGAGAAAAACGGCGACTCGGAGTCGGAGGTAGTACATGTGAAATGTGTGGCTCTGAAGGTAGATTGGTACTCCAAAGATTTAGGGATGTGAAATCGGACAACTCGAGAGGGGAAGTTAAGAGAAGTACATCAAACCCGCCATTCGAGAATTGAGCGGACTGAAATTGTCCTTGAAAATTTGCAACTGTTCCTCGGCATTGGACTGGTCCCCTGTGGCTGATCCGTCAAGGTCGAGTCTCGCCAAGGGATCATAATGGTTTTTGGCTCGAGAGCATACAATATCAGCATCTATGAAACCGGGTATGAGTCCTGCATGTTACGAAGAAGTTCATTACGCACAGTAGACAGGAGCTGGGATTGATACTGAACGCGTGCTGCGTGCATATACATGGCAAAGCGCGAAAGATAGTGATTGAATATTGTCAGGGCTAATTCAACAATATTGAGTTCTGTCTTCATAACCCAAGAATAAACACTCACGTGAAGTTGTTCTCGTCGTATAGAACATTGTAGTGTGCTGGACGAGATGTTCCGAGGAGACCACCGTGCGATTGAAGATAGAAGTCCATCTCGAGGGGGTGTGTGATGTCGCTGTCAACAACAGTCCCAGCTTTGCAATTGCCACTCCTGTCCGTAAATTCTCGTGCTTTGGGGAAGAATCGTACATGATGGCGTTTACCAACAACAATGATAGTGATAGCTGGATTGACTTTCAAAGCCTCACATGCCGCTGATCAAGACTATTAGCTGCAAAATATCACTAAGAACATCAAGTAATGAGCAAACCTTTCAATTGAGGGAGTTCTGTAGTTGAACGGATGTGAGATATGACAAGTACATGAACTTTAGTGATGGCCTTACCATATTCTAGCACTTGTTTAAATTGGCCCTCGGAGACACCGTCTAGATATATCACATCAAGATTTCAACCACGAGCCTAAAACATCATTCTTACCGCGGTAGAAAATAATTCGTTTAGGCTGCTTGTTGGGCTTTTTCTCCTCCTTTTCGCGGTAGCTCATAAAACTCCTAATCATGTACTAAGAACGATACGAATTAGACCAAATATGCACATTAGCAAAAAGGTGCGAACATACATACCATCGCCATATCCTTAAGATCGTCAATCATTTCTTGTCGGGAGGTCTGTACATGACACTTGGCAATATACTTGGCAGTGTCTGAGTCGACATTTGCCACCAGAGCGGTGAAAGAAGGTCGACCTTCAGTATGTGCAGCGGGATGAATCACATCGGCCTATGATTCATTTGAGATTGCATTTCATTTTCGAAATTGCAATTAACTTACACCCATCACGATTGTTGGAACTCTGTCGTCAGTTAGAGCACGGACGGAAGCAGGGTCCGGAATAGTATTAATGCCCCCCAGCTTGACGTTGATTCTACATAAAGGGTGAGTAGATCGTGTCGGTTGTTGTTGCCCAACTTACTTTAAGCAAATATTGGCGAAATATTGAGCATTGCCGCTACCACACTTAGTAGCTTTCATGCATTGGGTGGCAACACCTCGCTAGGTGTGAATTATTAGTCTCGTCTATCAAGATCGGTGGACCCTTGTCGTACTTTGATATCTCCGAAGCTGGATAGGGCATTCAGCAACCTATAAAGTCGAAATTTACTACTAAACTTACTACTTGACCGCTGTATAGATGTCGGTAGCAGCTTCTGGAAGCACAACGACCATAAGGTTAGGAAAGGTTCCCTTTTTCTTATACATGGCAAGCCCGGCGGCATTGAGTTGCTACATCAATTAAACTCAGTATATCGACGAAAGACCCTAAACTTAACACAAACTCACCTCATGAACTTGACCTTGACCGTTCGTATATGTTTCTATTTCCGGTTCTTTTGGAATCTTGATACCTGTCGTAGTTGACGTACAAGGAAACTTCAAGTGAGGATAAATGACACGTACCGACCTGTTCGCAGGCTGAAGTGAGTTCTTTGACCATATGAGCGGCTTCCTTAGTGCCGAATTTCTGCTCCCGTTCTAAAACGACGACAACCCAACCTGAGACAGTAGCAGGTCGGTAGAATTGTCGGTTAAGCCTAGGAGATAAGATCAGGTGTGCATACTGAGACGATCCAAATGTCTACTTACATATTCCATTGACCATTGTCAGGTGCCTATGTACAACAATCATTAATTCAGATTTTTTGGATATGGAAGCAACTTACGACGGACGGGTTCTTCCCACGGTACCTTAAAGTGGGTGGGATCAAAACACGGGCAGGTACAGTCAGGGGGCCAATACTTCGGACATGCAATCCAAATTGCTAAGATTACACTAGTGAGGATTCCATTAAAAAATAAAACATATGGGTACTCACCCGAACATATTCGGATTGCCCGTAGGAGAGAACCTAATGTAATAGTTAGCTTTCTCTTCATGACAACCGTAAAGATTCCTTTACCCCGAGACCTCTTGCGATGCTAGCGAGACGATCTGAAGGTTTCTTTGTCGAGAATTCAAGAACCTCGCGAGTCGTTTCTGAGGGGACTTGCTTGCGCATGATCTGTCCCTCCACCACAGTACATAATTCCATTGGAATCAAAGCACCATTGCCAACTTCAACACACAATACGTCCGGATATGCAAGAGGTCGGTTGTATGTCCTCTGGAAGTACTGTGCGACTGTGAGAGTACCACCCTCACGTAGAGTGAATGTAAGTGAAGAGGCTCCCATAGCAGAAATCTTCTTTACGACACGAGGCGTGCGAGGACGACCTTGTTGGTTTGCACCGGTAGTCATTACCCTAATACCAGAGATGAAACGTTGTAGTGCTAGTCGGTCTCGCTCGCTAATACCGACACCTCTACCAGCCGCCCCCACAGTTCGGGAGAGGGCTTGGACGTTGTTAGCGCTCTTGAGGAATAATAGACATAGGCTTATTAGGCTACCGGGTTTGTACATTGTTCCCGTTGATATGTCGATATTGATAAGCATTCTGCCAATAGCTGGACGAACGGACTGGAAATAGCCTCGCCATAGAACTAAACCACTGTTTTTGATTTCTTTCTTTTCTTGATTGGTAAAGAAGGAGCGAACGTTAAATGGATATCTAATGGTGGGTTCCATCCGGACGACGACATTCAGTGCCTTAAACACCCTAATGTTTAGCTGGAGACAGAGAAAGTGGAAGGAGTACGTACTGTAATGGCAGTAAGGACAGTATTGTCGTGCGATTGGTTCCCTTGTAAGAAACGAGAAAGGACCCTGAAATCGATAAGTTTCAAGGACGATTTGACTTACAGGACAACATACTCGGGATTTATCTCAGCTACTTTGGCGAGCTTGATCTTATAGACCTTGGGTCCTTTGTTGGATTTGACTGTGCCACCTGGGGATCCTTGAATTGTGTCTCCAAGAGTGACATCGAACTGTAGAGTGCCACAATTCAAATTAATTGAATAGCCCTGTGAAGCGTGTACGTACTATACGTGTATCATTTTCGAACGGGTACCTTCTGATCGAGAACATATTTTTCCGCCCGTCGTACACACCTTTGGGCTCGAAGATATCTGGATGGATTACCTCTTGCAATCTTACAATGAGCTCCATATTGAGCCTTGCCGGAAGGGTTTGCTCAGAAGGGGTAATAGCTGGTAAACGAAGATAAGAATATACGATGTTAATATGTGACCAATCAGACTTACCAACTACACAAAGAGAATGATTTCATTAGTACATATAAATAAGAAGACACTTGTGGAGCAGCTATACCGTCATAGTGGTAGATAATCCCTTGAGGAATAGAAACTTCGTAGTGATTTGTGAAGACCTCGGTGGGGTGACCACCACGACCAAAGCCCGATCTCTTAACACCAACGGTTGAAACGTGGTCGCCCGGATTGGGAAGTCCAACGCGTGCAGGAGCACCTCGAAGACTAGGACCACCGCGAAGGATAGGTGCACCTCGACCTCTGCCACGGGGAGCACCGCGACCTGTCATGGGGAGGGGAAGGGAAGAATGAACAAGCAAGGGAAAGAAGAAGGAAGGGGGGCAAGCGGCAGGTAAGCGGGTGGAGGAGTGGCTTTATGAGGAATAGAGGATAATGGGAGGGGCGTGTCCAAATCGATAGAAGCCCATGTCACTGGACCTCAATCAGAAATTATCAACATAACATTCCTGCAGCGACTCCGCAAACAATGGAAGCGGAGTCTGTCAAGGACAGCGACGATGTTGAGTCGGAAATTTGAGCCGCACCGCACGAATACCACCTTGTATTCCTCCGGCATGTGCTGGAGATTTCCCGATGAGCATGATGCACATACATACTTGAACTCGCGTCGCATTTTCGGTCAATGGCTTCGGAGATGGAACGCGATAAACTTCTGAATCCATACGTGATGCCGGCAGACTGGTTAGATGACGTCTTGTCATCACGAGTGCAGGTAGCAGAATAGAATATATATACAGTATGTATCATGCACAATCGTGTGTAAACATTGGTAATCTAAAAAAAGTTACGAGATTCTCAGCTGAGGCCCTGCCAGGACTCGAACCTGGGTTATGGGAAATCGTGTTGAACGGTCAGAATCCCATGTGATAACCTCTACACTACAGGGCCATGCGTGCTATTGACTCTCGGCTAGATCCATCCAGCGTAACCTATATACTTGATCGAGTCATGATCGACAATTCAATAATTTCAATTCAGTTCAAATCTTTACATCCTTACAGGTCCACTAGGTCCTCCCCGTTAACCCCAGAGACACCATGCCCGTCTTCCTACCGTTACTCGACGGCAACTACAACGAAGACCTTCTCCAAGCCTTATCCCGTATCGGGCCCGTCATTGTACCCCCATCTTACCTTCCTCTTCCAGATATCGATGTTAGCCGTTACATCCTTCTCGATCATGCTGCATCAGGTGCCAACCTCGACACCATCATCCAATACCTTGATCAAGGTGCCGACAAAGTGATCGTTCCCCTCGCTTGGGCAAAGGAGGTTGTAGGAATCATCCCTGCCGAGCGTCTTATTATTTTGCTAGATGTATCAAATGCAAGTGCAGTGTCCGATTCCGTTCGTAACGGAATCTCTGGTGTATTGGTCAAGACGCCTACACTAGACACAGACTTCATCTCGTCCTTTACTCGCTTCTTTGCCGGTGCAAAGATTTATATCCTCCAAACTGGATCCTCTACACCTCCCCAATCGACTATTCGGGATCTCCGAAGAGCAGGGACAACTTTGATCATCCCTTCCAGTGCACTCACACTTGAAGCTACTTCGACTGAACGTATCAATATTGCAGATGCTTTCGTTGCACCCTTGGTATCGGACAGACCAGACGGTCTGTCTCCGACAGTCGTTACAGAAGAAGGCAAATCTCTCGGATTAGTCTACTCGTCTAGTCTTTCTGTGAAAGAAAGCATTCTTACTGGGAAGGGCGTCTATCAATCCCGCAAGCACGGTCTTTGGAGAAAAGGCGAGACTTCAGGAGCTACACAAACCGTCTTTGGCATTCGCGTCGATTGCGACCTAGATGCGTTGGAGTTTGATGTAGCTCAAGTAGGAGCAGGATTCTGTCACTTGAACCGACCGTCATGCTTCGGTGAGACCCAAGGACTTTACGCTTTGCAAAAGACTCTGCAATCTCGATTGGACGAAGCACCTGAAGGCTCGTATACTAGGAGACTATTCAACGACCCTAACTTGCTCCGAGCAAAGATCATGGAGGAAGCAGAGGAACTCTGCGACGCTCAGACTCAGGAAGAGGTCGCGTTCGAAGCTGCTGACTTGATTTATTTCGCCCTTACTAAATGTATTGCGAACGGAGTGACGATCTCTGACATCGAGCGATCATTGGACAAGAAAGCAAAGAAGATTACCCGTAGGAAAGGCGATGCCAAACCAAAGTGGGTCGAAAATACTCAAGCAACTGCATCTTCTTCCACGCAACCTCCTCCCAGACCTGCTGCTCCAGCTGTTTCTGATGGACCCATCCGTATGCGTACGTATGATCTATCAACAGCCACTCCAGAGACACGTTCCCAACTTCTCCGCCGTCCGGTCCTCAAATCCGATGAAATGATAGCCAAGGTGAAGCCTATTGTCGATGACGTCCGTAATCGAGGAGATGCAGCTCTGCTCGAGCTCACCGCCAAATTCGACAGAGTTCAGCTCGACTCTACCGTTATATTCCCACCTTTCGCTCCCGAGTCTATGGAAGTAGAGGAATCCGTCCGACAGGCTATTGATGTCGCCTACGCTAATGTCGAGAAATTCCATGCTGCTCAAAATGAGAAAACACCTCTCAGAGTGGAGACAATGCCAGGAGTCGTCTGCTCCCGTTTCGCTCGCCCCATCGCCCGTGTCGGACTCTACGTCCCCGGGGGGACAGCTATCCTTCCCTCCACAGCTCTCATGCTTGGTGTCCCTGCTCAAGTAGCTGGATGCAAAGAAATCGTACTTGCAACTCCACCCCGACCAGACGGTAGCATCTCACCAGAAGTGATGTACGTAGCGCATCTAGTCGGAGCTTCCGCTATCCTCAAAGCAGGAGGTGCTCAAGCCGTCGCCGCATTAGCCTACGGAACAGAAACTGTCCCCAAAGTGGATAAGATCTTCGGGCCTGGAAATCAATGGGTCACTGCGGCGAAGATGTTAGTGCAGAACGATACGGATGCGTTAGTATCTATTGATATGCCGGCAGGTCCTTCCGAAGTCCTCGTACGTCCGCTCTTTCCACCCCATCATCATCATCCCATTGTTCGCTCGATTCGACCTTCCCTTTCAATACATACAACAACTGACAGATATGGGTTTATTAAACAGGTCGTCGCGGACTCCACGTGTAACCCCGCATTCGTCGCAGCAGACCTGCTTTCCCAAGCCGAACACGGAGTCGACTCTCAGGTGGTCCTCGTCACCGTCAATCTCTCCCAAGAGGAAATCGCGGCGATTGAAGACGAAGTGGATGCACAGGCTCGTGCCCTTCCTCGTGTTGAGATCATGCGTCAGTCGTTACCCAAGAGTCTGATCGTAAAGACCACTTCAGTAGAAGAAGCCATTCAGTTCTCGAATGACTATGCTCCGGAACATCTGATCTTGCATTTGCTGGATGCTCCAGGTGCTGTGCCTCTCGTGCAGAATGCTGGAAGTGTCTTCGTTGGTCCTTACTCTCCGGAGAGGTTTGTGTTTCCTCCGTGTTGCGATATCACCTATCACTTCGGACTGACGACTTTTTTTGTAGCTGCGGCGACTATGCCTCGGGGACGAACCACACATTGCCCACGAATGGATACGCTCGTCAATTCAGCGGTGTCAACACCCAGTCGTTCCAAAAGCACATTACTTCTCAAGAAGTTACCGCCGATGGTCTTCGAGTCCTCGGTCCAGTCGTTGTCACTCTAGCAGACTGTGAGGGATTGGGAGCTCACGCAAACGCAGTCAGAATACGACTGAGCACTCTATCATAATTCTTGAAGCCTTATAGGCTTAGTTGTATCCAAAATCACACTTACCCAAGGTAATTATCAAATGTAGAACACTGACACAAATGTAGAAATAATGGTGCTTGGATAGGAAAATGATAGCAGAGCGAGTGACCGATAGCAAAAAATCCCCTAGATTATATTAGAGTCTATGATGGCTTCCTAACGTATCGAAGTCTAAGGTGTGCGTGTAAAGAAGAACATGAACCCCATCCACCCGAGATGCTTAGTTGCTCCTGTAAAGAGCACGCTTAGCGACCTTGGTGATAATTGATGTATCAGGGAAGGCAAGTGCCTCGAGGTTGGCAGCGTACTAAAAAAAATTGGAATGTTAAAGACATTAAAGCAATGAAGTGTTTCAAGGACTTACGGGAGTGGGAACATCGGCACCGGTGACACGCTCAACAGGTGCATCAAGGTAGTCGAAAGCCTCGCTCTCAACGATTTGAGCACAAATCTCACTACCAACACCGAAGGCAGGGAAACCACCCTCGACGATAACGAGCCTAAAGAAGAAAAAATTGAATAAACATGATCGAGATGATGTCATAATTCAAAAACGTACCTGTTGGTCTTCTTAACAGACTTGATGATAGTGTCGATATCAAGAGGACGGATCGAACGGAGGTTGATAACCTCAGCCTTGATACCCTCCTTGGCGAGCTCGTCAGCAGACTCGAGCGAGTGGGTGACCATCTTGCTGTGAGCAACGAGTGTGACATCGCTTCCTTCCCGCTCGACCTTGGCCTTGCCGATGGGGAGGATGAAGTTGTCGGACATGGCTTCTGAAGACATGGGGAAGGTGACACCGTAAAGCATCTCATTTTCAAGGAAGACAACAGGGTTGGGGTCTCGGATGGCGGCCTAGTAACAATATTTGTTATGACGTCTATATGAACGATCTGAACTGATAGGTACGCACCTTTAATAGACCCTTGCAATCCTCAGCACTCCAAGGGCTGACAACCTTGAGACCTGGTACCTGACCGTACCACGCAGCGTAGTCTTGCGAGTGTTGAGCACCGACACCGGAGGCAGCACCGTTAGGGACCACGGAAGACGATTGGACATGGGACGTTGCCTCCGGACATGTAGTATGTCTTTCCACCCGAGTTGACAATTTGGTCAATAGCTTGCATGGCAAAGTTGAAGGTCATGAACTCGCAACTAGAATGACATCATGAGACGACCGATTAATGAAAATATTCGTAGAGAAGCTTACATCGGTCGCAGACCGGCGAGTGCAGCACCAACGGCAAGACCAGCGAAACCCATTTCCGTAATGGGAGTATCGACGACTCGCTTTTCACCGAACTTGTCCAAGAGACCTTTTGTGACCTATGACCAAAGGTGTGCTTGACATCAGATATGGCATATTGACTTGTGGGTGCCGTATACCTTGTAAGCACCATTGTACCGTGCTACTTCCTCTCCGAGAACGAAGACCGACTCGTCCCTCAGCATCTCCTCCTCCATCGCGGTGTTAAGAGCATCACGGACGGTCATCTGATCATGGAGAATAGGACATGAGAAATGGGTGGATACCGCCTGTTTTCCGGACATACCGAGTGTTCACTCTGAGTGGCATATCCGCGAGCGAGTGCCGCGCGCCGGGCGACGAGAGAAGGGGTCTTGCGTGCATGGGCAAGGGCAGGGGCTATACGAGAGAAAGCAGCACGGGAAGCCATGGGGATATTTTGGAGGAAAGGGAGTAGAGTCAAGGACTGAATTTTCTGGCGTTGTGCTGGCTGGGTGAGCAGAACTTTGGGGACAGATTACAGTGCGCTCACACAAACAGCGGTAAACAACTCGTCCTCCGTTCCTTTCCGCACTCACACCATATTCTTTTTCCACTCCTCGTCTCTGTGTACCACTCGGGTCACACTCGCGCTCGTATCACCCAAGCACATACCAACACTGTTCAGCACCAATTTCACCCCCATGGCAAGAAAACCCGTCGTCCTAGTCACTGGCGCCTCAAAGTGCTTCCCTCTGTCGATCACTTCAGACGCCTCCCGCTGATTAGATGCGATTCCCAACAGAGGCATCGGCCTGGCTATCACTCGTATCCTCCTCGAGCAGCTCGGTGCTACTGTCGCAACCTTTTCTCGCACAAAGTCACCCGAGT